GATAGGTTAAAAAAGGCAAATAAATATATTAAATATATCATAACGATTATTAGAGTTAAAATTTTATTTAATTGCCATCCGATATGAAAATACAGAAAATAAATAAATAAATAAATTTTTTAGTTATAATTTTGTTTCAATAATAAAAATTGTTTCGCTTAAAATATTCATTTGATTGAAAACCATTAAATATGATGGAAATAGTTGCATATTTTACAGAGAATTACTTTTTGAGCTTTAAAGCATAAAATTTAAGTGTAAAAAATGATTTTCTGAATGAATGAGTAAATGAAATTCTACAATATTTAATAATTTATTTTCATAGTTACTAATTTAATGCAACAATATATAAAAAATGTTTAAATAAATATCCTATTTACAATTATTATTAACATTTTTATTCATCTATATATGATTTATGTATAAACATTTACATAAAGTTTCGCTTATTAAAATGTAAAGAAGTAAAGTTAATAATTTATTTACATAGACTCAATCTCTAGAATCAAATAAAATTTAATTTGTAGAGATTTCATTTAAGAATTTAAATGTAACCAATTAGTTTATTAATTAAAATAAATAAAATGATACACTGTTAAAGATGTAATGAAAATATAATGTGTTACTTAAATTATAGATTAAGTTTGTTGATATAAGTTAATCATAGTTCGAAAAATATATGTGTGTATGAAATTTTGATCTGAAAACTTTTTATCGTTCAAAACACGCGATTTTATCATTAAAAACATAGAACAAACGAGTTATAAATTGATTTATTGCCTAATTAAAGTCAATTACCATAATAGATAACAACTTAGAATAAGAAAATGAATATGATAACTATATTTTTCTATTATATTTGAATAAAATAAAATAAAAAAATTAATTTTTGAACCGTAAAATAGCTGTTTATCACGCAAAATTAAGTTAATGTGTTCAAAACGAAACAATAAGCTTTATTTACTATTTTTGTAATATAAAATGAACCACTTCATCAAAATATTTAATTATTCATTATAAAATATAAAAATTGAAAAATTTTTTTTATTATAGTTTAGGAATATTGTTATTACTAAATTAATGGAATTGTAGTAATAAATAATTTTTAAAACAGATTAAGCTAAGCAACAATAAGTTTTTGAAATATTTGTACAGCCAATTTGATTCTTTTCAGTTGACAAATTGAAAAACTCTACGGATGAAATTCTTAAATAATGAAAGAAAAAAAAAAACTATAAATATAGCTATAGTTATTATTAATTTTTTAACAATCAGTCGAAGATTCTGTATAAATGATAATCATTTAAATTTTATAACAACAATAATCGGAATGGTTCTATAAAATTTAAACTAATTTTGTCATGGAGCTAGTTTATAAGAGTTACACTTAAGAATTTCAATTTTAAATTATAGAAAAATTTAATACAATTTTTGTAAAAGAAGATTATTAAAGATTTGTATTTATGTAACCTGTTAATATTTTATTTTAGACTTTATATTATATTAAAACAATATAGTAATAAATTTTTAAACTCAGTTTCTTAATACAGTCGAACCGCCAATAAAGGCCACCGCCCAACGACGGTCACCTCCGAACAACGACCATTTTTTATGTTTCCGTAAGTGTCCGCTGTTCAGAGGTTTGACTGTATATTGTAAGCATTACAATGTAATATATATCAGCTTTCTTTTTTTAATATAAAATTTGACAATTTTTATTTTTAATAATATTCTTGTTAAACAGGATACTGTTCTTGCCTATATAAAAGTATATAAAAATTAATCATTGTTCTATTAATAATTTCGAGTTATCGAAATTTAAACTATAAGATAAATATAGTTTATGTTTTACAATATCATTGTCTAAAAAATGTATTCAGTGTATCGGAATAAAGATTTAAAAAAACGGGAGAACGTTGACCATAATCGTAAACCGTAGAAAGGCACGACCGGATAAATTCATACAAGCAAATTTAAATTTGAATGCTATTTAATAATATTTTAAAAATTAATTCTTAATTACAATATTAATTTTAATAATTTTAAAACCATTATTCTTTCATAATTGAGACAAACCTATATTTCAAATTGCAACAGAGTTTTTACGATTAGACTTTTAATAATATATTTTACATAGCAATATTAAAAATAACAACCATTTAATAACCGATACTTACAATTATATAGAATAATTTGATGAATAATTTGTTATATCGATAGAAAAGTCACTTATATTTGGAATGTAAATGACACGAAAAAATTATCGAAAGAAATTAAACATAAAATATAATTATAATGTTATAAAATATCTAAATATCTTCCTAGGAGCAAAATGTTTTTGATTGTATTTTTTGTCTTATTAATTTTATTCATATAGTTTTACCATATATGTAATGATCTCTTGTATTAATTAAAAATTTTCATAATAAAAACTAGTCGTAACTAGTTGCTTTTGCATTATCTTCCTGATAAAAATAAAAATCGGTTTAAATTTATGTAATTAACTATTAACTATATGTAAACAAATAGCGTAATTTTAAGAATAATAATAAAAAAAAAAATTTAAATTTCACTAAATAACTATTAAACTAAATTTTTAATATCGAAGTAAAAGTTAATATTTAATATAAATACAATAAAAAAGTAATGGATCATTATTAAATTCTGATTTTTGCGATTAGTCAATGTTAATATACTGCACTTAATATTGAGTGTCCATAAAGTATCTACTCATTGGACCTAATAAATAATTACAGTATTTTATTGATTTTGTTATACTACTAACATTTATAATTTGTCATATAACAATGCAAATGTTAATAAAATACATTTATCAAATGCTGATACATACTGCGAAGCATTATTACATGTTTTTTTTTTCAGCATTTGTATTATATAAAGTATCATCAAATAAACTACAAAATTATTAAAAACGCTAGTGTTTAGGTGTATTTGTTATATATTCAATATAAGTTTTAAAATGTTCAATTGAAATTACATTAAAATTTGGTATAACTTCTTTGTAGCTTACATTGTTATCTAATTTATTTAATTTAGTTCAAATGAGAATAGAATTAATTTTTTTTAAAGCACAGGATTCGAAAAAACAAATCTTTGATATTATCCTGGTTGTTTGATGCCAAGTACAAAGGACAAACTTTGTAAAATGTTTCCTAGTGTCGATTTTCTTACTAAATGCTTGAGTTGTAGGCCTATAATGTCTCGAATTATTTTATAGTTAATTATATCAATTCATAACTTCTTCCTGTTTTTCATTTTTTTAAAAATCCAATAATGTTGTATAAAGTGTTATAAGAAAAAATGAAACAAAAGCTTCTTTCTTTGACCTTGAATATATTCTGAAACAGGATGCCAGGTTCCAAACTCAAATAAATAATTATATATTACAGCATAAACCTTAAAGAAGTCAGCACACTTCAATTGATGTCCAAATTACTAGTTTAAGAGGAAATCCAAGTATTATATTAATCATTTGTCTTTCGAAGCCCTATTATCTGTTTTCGAGAGATTTGTAAAATCTCCATTTGTATTATGACTGGTGTAATGTTTTCTATTTGAAAAAATCGATAAAATGTCGAACTATATACTTATATAGGTTTAATGACAAATACAATTATATTAATATTAATCTACACGATTTCTCGCATTTTTCCTCGGAAACTCGAAATTATCAAAAGGAAAAATCTAAGCAAATGAGATTATTTTTAAAACAATGTATGCCTAATCTACGTTGCAGTGATGGAGTAATTATCAATTCGTTCCAATATACGCCATTTGAAATATTGTCAGAATATTATCAGAAGGAAAATCCTTCATAGATTAACTTCTCGAAAAGAAAATGAGGAAATGTATGAACTGATATAAGAAGCAATGGAAATATTATCGATAATCAGCTAAATTTTCCTTTAGTAATATCATCCGATATATATAAAGACAAGAAACACAATAGATTGATTAAACATTTAATACAAAACAAACAAATCGCGATTCGTTCGAAATCTATCCTATTAAATATTGTATATATTTATTTTTAGATACATTTAATAAGTTATGTACTGTATGTACTGTAAAGGAAAAAAAAATAGTTATAATATAACCATCCGTATCAAATAGATATATAAATGATAATTATTTACTATTTTATTTTATCGGCATATATTTATTTCATATCTCAAAATCTGCACGAAAATATCTTTTACTACTTTTAAGAAAGTCATTAATAAATAGGCTACTGAATTATTCAGCATTTCTGCCGATCATAATTTAGTACAATTTAATTAAAGAAAAGTCTACTTTTACGAATGTAAACGTGAAGTTACTATTTAACAAAAGATAAAATTGTTTTTGTGGCAAACAATAAATAAGGATATATAATATCATTGATTGCGAATGAAATTGATATATCTGATATTATAAAACTACTGAAAAATCTTCATGGTTATCGCGTTTAGAAATTTTATTATTCTTGAATCCAATAATAATTCTAAAGAAAGAGTTAATTTAATCATATTAGATTAATAGTTTTTTAAATTTGTAAATCTTTTTTTCTACATTTATAATTTTACAATTTTAAATTCAACGTTAAAGCATCAATTAAAACTTTTTAATAGTAAAAACATAGACTACAATAAAGTTTTCGCATTTTGATTTTTATGTTCCAAACTTTCTTACAACCATTAGATATTACAAAGAATAAATATAAATAAATATCATGCAAATTAATTTATGAATTTTCTTGGAATTGATTAAATTTTCATTAGTGAATAATTAATGAATATTAAATATTTAGTTGGATTTAACTCAAATTTTAAAAATTCAGTTAAGAATAAAACCTCATAATTATTATTAGCTTCTGTCTATTCTAAGAATTCAATTCTTCACTTATTGTTAAAAGAAATAATGCAATAAATGACTACATATCGGTCTACTAAAATATACAAAGTATTTGACAAAAAAACTTGACTTTGGAAAAACTTTTATTTTCACAATCGTTCCTCACATATTTATATAACATTTAACTATTTAACATGTTACCTAATGATTGTAAACACTCGAAAAAAAGAAGTAAGGCTACAATAAATACTTTTAAGATGAAGGAGAAACGCGAATTTGTCCTTGACCCGAAATGGTTGAACTTGAGTTTTTCAAGTCATTTCCAGCTTTTCTTGACTATTCTAGAAACTCCTTCTGGCAATAATAAGCTATTCGCAGAAGATGACCAAGAAAAAAATAGAAAGGAGCTAGGTATAAAAAATTTTTTACACTCTTAACGGAGCTAGAGAAATCTTCGTCGCTAGAAACCACATCCGGAAAAAACTCGGTAATGAGTAACTCGCATATTTTCACTCGGGATGAAAGATGACATCACATCTTTTCAACCTTTTCACTTTGGAGGGACTACTGTCGGAACCGAAAAATAGCCCGAGGAGTGATATTTAGGAAACAACACAAGCAATATGCAGAAACATTTGTTTCTTTCCTTTTTTCTGTCAATTCCAACCAAGTTCATTCTAGAGATCAAAGTGTACTAACCCCTAATTTGTTCGGAGGTCGCCGGACAACCTTGAAAGCGACAATGATCCATCTGGTGGTCGGAATGTGCGGAGCCGTTTTTTTTCTTCTCGGACAGTAGCAGCCAGCCGTCTACGTCACGTGATAGAAATCGGCGTTCTCGTACATAAGCACAGACGACCTGTACAGCGAGGTTACAAGCACATCAGAACAGGTAGAGGCAGGTGGGAGAAAGTGGACGCAGGCATTGGAGGTCTTAGTAAGTCACTTTCACTCTTTCTATGTTTTCATTACAAAGAAGTTAGTTCGTAAGTTTTTAATAAATTAGTCTATAATTTAAATTTTATATTAGATTTAGTCGATGAATCAATATTTACTGAAGATTGAAGGTGACATTGAAACAAAAATGAGAGTGAACTCAGAAAGCCATAGACTATAGCTCTTCATCCAACCGTTTAAACATCTGAATGTTGATGATTCAGATAAAATGTACAAAACACATATAATATTTATTTCGAAATTTATACTGAAACCATTATCGTTTCATACACATTTTTGTGTTCAGTGGAATATGAAATACAAGATAAAGCATGAAAGAAAGTGCAATCACTTCTTCTTTCGAATTATGATTCATCTTCTTTATCGGAAATTTCTACGTTCATATCTCTTAATGAGCAATTATTGTTGAACTGGCCCAAGCTACTTTTTTCACTTAATGAGTCTGTTTACGGATCTAAATCTCGTGTCCGGTGATGCTGTTTATCTGAAATGAATCTTCATTAATTGGTTTGCATTGACAAGTTATGCGAGTTACAAAAATTTCAATTCGAAGTTCAATGATCAGTTGATAACTATTTAAAAGAATGAAAGTTTTAATGAGGTGAGGATTACTAAGAAAATAGACAGATTTCAAGACAGTTAAATGTAAGAGCGTTGTTCTTAATTCTCCACTTTGTAAAAAACGGAAACGGAAACGTAATTAATCGTGTTTGTTTAGTTCTAATCAATGAAAAAAATCATTTTTATTTTTAATCTTTACACCAATGATCAATTTATATTTTATTTGGAGAAAACATACTTAAAATTTAGAATCAAACTTATAAATAATATCGAATATATTCATATTTTAAGATCAGCTTTGAAATTTATCGAATTTGATGTTTTGAATCAGAAGAAGATTCAAAATATCAAACTCAATCGAATCAATTAATAGAAAAATTAATTTTAAAAATTGTTTACATGTCAAAATTTTAGAAACTATAAAAATTTACTGAAATTTAAAGCATTTATTTTTTACTAGTGTAGAATTTTTTAAGTTAAAACTTATAAAATAAATATCAAGGAAATGGTTAAAAATCAATCACTCGAATCAAAATTTGATCTACTTTAGAAATTTAGAACGCAAATAAATAAAATAATAATATTATTATGAGTTCAGATTTCGAACATTAAAATTGAAAATACAAAATGCACAAAAAAGTATGTTTAAATAAAAGAAAAAAGCATTTTAATGACCTGTTAAAATTTCTTTACATGCAGAGAGAAATAGCGATAGTAAAACTTTGGATGAACTGATGCGAAAATTCGGAGCAAACTCGTAACACTAGCTTCGTGTCGTAGTAGAGATGGAGTCAGTTGGTATCGCAACTAATGAAGCGCATCCGAACCGAGCACACCCTAACTTCTTTTTCAGAAAGAATGGCTAATTACTTTCAAAATACCGAAATACTTCTTCCAGTTAATGCCTTTTTTTTAAAATCCTATCCCGTACATTTTATTACTTAGTATTCTATTAAATGTTACAAAGTAGAATTAAAGAATACAGAGCAGTCATTAAAGTCAGTTATGCAATAAGAGTATATTAGATTTTATATCCTTCTCGGAACACTACTTTAGGCGGAAGTCAAATTACGCCTGACTCTTCAAATTTGGCAGTTTTTGATTTCAAAATTCCTTGCTCCAGTGAACCTTGTTGAGAACATCTTATTACGGAAGGTAGTAATCCCATATGAGTCTTAATAAGAAACGGTGTAATTTGGAGGGCAAGTCAGACAGTGAACTTGAACTAGTTCGCTCTTGAGAAGGAAAGAGAGAGTGAAATGCTGGAGGTTAACGAAGTCACGGACGAAACAGGTTTATTATTATATATTACACGTCAGGATAAGTAGCTCGAGGGCTTTTTCCCTGTGCCCACGTCTTGTGCCAGCAATTGTTCTCGGTATGCAGAGAAATAAAATATTAATTGCCGAAAATAATAATCAATTAAGCAGCATAAAATTGCATCTCGAAACGTAGTAATCCATCCTCAATTTTAACTGTTTACTAGTAAAGATAATTTGCCGAATCCAAATCGTTTAAATCACGAGGGAGGTTCTCTTAAAATGAAATCCTACCTTGATGGATGAGTTTTTGAGGGAGTAGTCATTAATTTCATATAAAATGAGCATAAACACAATATGTCTAAAGTGGAAATATTATCTCTTTTCATAGTGTGACAGACATCATGAACTTGAAAAAAATTGCTATTTTCCCTTTTCTGTTTATCTTTTTCTCGATAAAAGGTTTAACCGACAATATAATAAACTTCATTCGTTTTACAGCTAAAACATTTACTGAAGTTGTTAAGATAGAAGATTTCCTTAATTGAAAAACTCTTAACTGTATTAAATCTGTAGATAATAAAGTCTGACAAAAGACTAGCAGACGGGCGAGTCTCGATCCAAACTGCTTCTTAGTATTCATGTCATGAGTACGGATAAGATATGGGGCTGCGTTGGGTGTGTAGTGGGCCTCGGACTAAAGATGGTCGATGTCAAAGTTCAATGCACTTCAAAGTATAGCCGAAAGGGTAGGCATATAAGAGAAAGTGCTAAAGTTATCTTTCATTTCACTTTCAATTTTCTTTTGATATCACTTATAAATGTATAGTTGTATATTATTCATTCAATTTCGAATTTATTTTCGAGAGATTTCAAAATATCAATTAAAAATAAAATTTATTTTTTTATAGTTAAAATGGACCTTTGGCAATCTGCTGTAGTCATTTTGGTAAGTTTAACATATAATTTATAATTAAAGATATTAATTAGCAGATAAATTATAATTACATAAAAATTCCGTATAAAAATTATTAAGATTTATACACTGAAAGTATAGTAAAGTTTTGGTTAAAAATTCTATTATTGTTTTAGAATTACAACCATAACATAATTTATAGTACCGCAGTTTATCATATTCACGGTCGAGACAAAGAACGAAAAATACCAGTTCAAGTTCGTCTTTGACGTCACTAATTGTAATATCTGTACTTTTGCTCTCAATTAAAATTACGGAAGTTAATTAAGTCATTAATTTAATGAATAACATTTTCATTGATTTGAAAAAATGAACAATGATTGTAACCGTTAGTGACAAGTTGGTCGCAGCATTTCGGAGACATAACTAATAAGGAAAATTTTTATATTCACAGGCACTACTAGTTACGAGGCATGTTTCTTCCCAACTTATTACAAAGGCAGGTGAGTAAGAAAAGAAAATATTTATGAAATTATTTATAACGTGCTAAAGGAGAACTGTTTTCTATCAGCTCGAAAAGGAATGTTTTCCTGTGGGCCCTTACCTGTTCGTGAAGTCACGAAACACCCACGCGTAATATCTCATGATACATCTGCTCAGTCTCATCCGCGATGAACAATTTTAATACAATTGCTTACCTAATCCCACGATTTAAACTATTAGTAGCTATTCGAGTACGGATGTGCAGATAATGAGGATTATTTTCTTTAATTTCTTAATTCGATTTCTGTCTAAAAATCGCAAAGTTGTTTTGATCGAAAATTTTATACGTAAGGTCAAAAACACCTGGTTGATGAATCAGCGCAGTTACCTCCATCATCCGATGCAGGTGACTGTAGAAAATGTCCTTGGCAAGGCCGCACGAAATAACGTGACAGAAAATGTTCTTATACAGAAAAATTTTCTAATCATTTAGACATAGTAGTCAATACTTTATGCCAACAGTTGTCTGAGAGTCACTGGGAGGTCTCGGAAACCAGTTTTCTCAACATGTGGCACTGAGTTGACTAACATCTAAAAATAGATGAGATGAGTGGATAGAAAACGTTTAGTCCATCCTTTATATTTTTCTTTATTATAGTGGATAAAAAGATTGCGTGTGAGGCCGGATAGGTGAATCTATAGGAAACAGCCTCCAGATAGAAATTTTATCTTCTTAGCGTTTTTGTTACAGACTTTAAATAACAAAAGAGCGGTCAAAGCTCATCCTTTAATAAGCTTACAAAAATATTTCTCATATTCTTTTATTTGATTACACTTTATTTATATCCACAGAATGATAAAACAATGAATTATTTAGTTATTTTTAATCCGATTTTACAAATTTTATCTTGAATTGTGATTATTTTTAATGTAAAATTAGTTGCAATTCTGTTGTCTACAGTTACCAAGTAACCTTGCATTATTTAACTCGTTTTATATCTAATTTTAGTTTCTTTAATAATATTAATATTTATTTCGAGTGTTCATATGAAAAATTTATTTGATTTATGAATAATGTTTTAAATTATTAAACATTTTTCCGTAGGAGCGAAATCTAAAAATAGAAATTCAAGGGAGTATGTAAAAAAACAGGAAATTTATTTTAAAATTCAACAAATTAACCGTAATCATTTCCGTCAATGCAAATCTTAGAAAAATAAATATTTTTTAAAAATAAAAATTTTTACGCATCGAAATGAAAAAGTGGACTATTTAAAAGGATAAAATTTGTTTTGTGGATCGGTGTGTACTGTACATCGAATTTTATGACACAATTCTCGATTCAATTGTCTGAAGAGTGACTGGTTATATTTTTAGGTATCTAAGAAAAAATACCAGTGCTGGTGGCGACTGTCTACGAACTGACCGTTACGAATTTTCCACTTCTCTTTATCGGCTGTCCTGAATTTAAAAGCACTTTTATGTCTAATTTTCTCTTTTCATTCCTCCTTTTATGACTTTAACAATTGCAGTCGATCGCTCAATCGAATCCTCGTTAGTTGATTATTTTTTATGACCCAGTCATATTTTTCAGCGTTCTTCAATCACACAAGCTAAATATATAAACTTACTTCTATTGAAATATTCAAATTACAGTATCTGTACTTTATACATTAATCTTGGAAAGTTATAGTTCTAAGATAGCTAATTAAATAACCTCCTCATATTACTTTATTTTAATATATATATATATTTTTTTTTTAATTTAACTAGAGCACTTTTTAAGGTAAAATCAGAATTTTTCTTAGACTTAGATTGAACAATTCAGTACAGGTGCATTAAATTTGAAAATAATATTATTTTCAATTCAATAAAAATGTTTTTAATTTTAGATTGTTTTATTTTAAAGCAAGAATTAAAATATCAAAATAAAATCAATAACGATAAACAAATTTTAATTAAAAATAAACATCTTTAAAACTCAGTTAATTGAAAATTTTAAAAGAATTGTAATTTCAATGAAAATTCTTATATAAAATTATATTAGACAAATGACTTTTTAAAGTTCATCAACTGAAACAAGGTTAAAGTAGTTCAAAAGATTTTGCACCCATTTTCGCCTCCGTTGTTGTATTGTTCTTATAAAGGGACATATCATAGGTCAAAATTTACGACTTGCAAACTTCTGTAATCAAACAAAACTTTTTAGAAATGATCTCATTTAACTTCAAAATAGATTTTTACATAATAAACAGAATAACTTTGTGGCTTGAACTTCCTGCAGAGTGTCATTCCCACGTCTGTAGGGCGAATATACCTACTTTAACCCTCGACCTCCAAACTGAAACAATTGCTGTGGCGGTGGATTTCTCCTAATGGAAGAAAAGTCATCCTTCCACATTTCTGTTTGGACCTAACCAGGAAGTCATTCAAACACATTTCATTTAGCGTGACTTACTATCTCTTGGTGTTTTGTGTGATATTTTCTTCGCACGATGGTCCTGTGTTCACAGAACTTTCTTAATGGAACGACTTTTGATGCACATTTTTGATGGTATCCTACTAACTCTGATAACAAAAGTCGTAGCTTATAGTATTTATTGTGTACTTCTTTATCACACGAGAATAGTTGTTCGAAAAATTCTGTAGATAAGACATTTATCATACTATTTATCTTATTTTTTTATAATTTTTAAAAAGCCTTTTTAAACCTACTCTAATTTTACCCACATGGCAATTTGAGATGATCTAGATAAATCACATGTTAGAGTTTTGAGAATAAATGGGATGTCCACAATTTAAAAAAGAAAAATGTATTATTCTTGCCTTTAGAATGTGTTTGTCTAGTTTAAAATACTACGACATGTGTATTTCACATGTAACGTTAACTGATCGTTAATTGAAATTCAAGTAATGCAACTGTAAACTAATTAATGTAATTACATTTCAAAAGTTAATCGTTAAAAAAATATTTAATTAAGGTTATTTAATTAAGTTTTACTTTGGTATTTAAATTTATACGTTTAATTAGAATCAGAAATTTGTATACAATATAACTAATGTTTAACTATATTAATTTTAAATTTTATAGTTGCATTTAAATGTAAGACAAATTATGTTTTAAGGCACATTACATATTTTTATTGATCCTATTAGACTATTAATTTTTATGTAAAAAATTTAATAATCCGGAAAGATTTTCCATATATCTATTTTATTATTTTTTTTAGCAACTTTGTTGTGCTTTTGTAGTTCATTAATGAACTACAAATGCAAACATATTAGGAAGTGATATTAAATATTCCGAACAACTTCCCTTATTAAAATTTATAGTGGCTTCGTTACTGCAACTGTTATATTTGTATTACAGGACAAAGTACAATGTAACATTTTCTAATCACGTGTGAACAATAAGTACCTTATCACTATGTGTTTTAAAGACCCCATCTTCACAGGAGGTCTTTGAGAAACAAAGTACCTTTTACTATTTAAAATTGCTTTTTTTGTATTTAGATAATAAGAGAGAAATCTTTTACAAATAAGAATTAATCACTTTTTAAAGGTGAATGTATATCTTTTCCTTATTTCTATGATTACAAAGATACATGTCGAGTTCGTCCTTGCGCTTTCATTTTTCAGAGTTCACTTTCATCCGCAAGGTCGGCAGCAGATTTCGTCTCCTAGCAACTACAGGTCGCTGCACTTCTACTAGTGTCAGCGTCCTGACGCTGCCAGCAAAACAAACCGCCAAGCGTCTATATTACAAATCGTGATGAAAAAAACATGACTTCGTGTTTTGTCAGTTCTGCCTCCCGAATTATCAATTTGAACGAATTTATGTTTTTGCATTTTTATATCTCTAACTTCTTTTACAGATCCCGGCCTCATTACCGATGTCAGTATCGCTTGTAATAGTAATAATATATTAGTGACGATATCTACGGCTACTAACTTCAACGGGATGATTTACCCCAAAGGATTATCTAAGAATTCTACTTGTATGTCGGAATATAGCAATGCCGGTGCTAATGTCAGCTATATTTTACCCTTGAGATCTTGCAACACCATGAGCACTGATATGGTAAGAATTTTCACACACAATTACAGACACTCCCTTTCGTTCGTCCGAATCGTGTAATGCATTACCTGAAATTCCCACATTTAATCATCTGTGGATCGTATCGAATTTTAAGCGTACTGATTCAATCTAATTACTAGTTACAGTCGATTCTTTTTGGCCTAAATTTTTCAAGCAGGATGAAAATTATTTTCATTTCAGTTTCGGTCAAAACTGTTTGTCGAAACGATTATTAATTTGTATAATTTATACAACATAATAAAGCAAGTTAATTTCTTATTTTTGACGGAAAATTTAAATTAGAAGAGTAGAAAATAAGTAGAATCGATTAAATATTTTAATAAATCTGAAAAATATCAATAAGTTTCCAGTTCCTATTGACTAAAAGAGTTTAATTATTACAAAAATTGATAATTAAGATTTAAATGTAGGTTTTTATTGTTAATAATGTTGTTGTGTCTCTTCTTTTGACCCTTGATTATTTAATATTTCATAATCACGAACCAATCTTACCACTTTTCCTTTCTAGGATGACGGAGTAGAATACTTCAACACGGTCGTGATTCAACCCCATCGTAAACTGGTGACCAACCAAGGACGAGGTTACCATATTAGATGCAGGTATCAGACTAAAGAGAAGACCGTCACTTCTTCTTTCAATGTCAGGTAAGTTGTTCACGAGATCTTCATTCAATCAACATCCGGGTTTCACTGTCGAACGAACAAAGAAGCCATTAAGTATTTAGTGATAGCACTTTTTCATTCGGACATTGAACCCGGTTGGACTTCGAAGAAGGGTGGCTGACGGTCCACCCTTCTTCGAAAACTTGATGGATCGGTTTGGTAATAAGGTATATCTACGGGTACGATACACACTGAACCCATAACCCTACACTACTTTTAACTATATATCGTCGAGCTGTTTCTTTCCACTTCCTGTTCTTCCGCATCAATCATTTAAATATGCGAATCGGTTGACAGTTTATTTTCTACTTTATTAATGCAATAATAAGAATAAATCTGATCAATTAAACGATTCTTTCTCCCGAAGAAAATTTTTATTAATGATTTGCAAAATTATCCTTAACATCGACACGAATGAGGATATTATTAAAAAATAATATCCTTACTCGTTTCCATAAAAAATATCAAAACTGTTTATAAGGTTAATGACATTTTTCGTATTTTCCTTCTATATCTTATACTTTATAAATACCACTTTTTTAAAATTTAACTTGCAATTCATAAAATTTAGATATACTGTTTAAATATGCTAAATGTATTATAGTAATATAAGTTTTTATATCTTATTATAGACAATATATTTCACTCCTGTATGGATATATCAATATATAAATATTTCAATCGATATACATTATATTAAGATTTCATTTTATTGAGAAATAATTATATTATATTATATTATAATATATTGATATTCATAAGTGTGTATACTCACTTTCTCAAAAGTTATTATTAGGAATAGTTAAAATATATTTCTATACAAAAAAGACAACAGGGGCACAATAAAAAACAAAAGGAGATAGCTTTACCTCAGGGCCCCCACATATATAGCCTATATATTGCCTTCTTTTGAACAAATGAAATACGTAGAATGTTTATTTATTAATAAAGAAGGCAGTTTTAAAGATTTTATTTTTGTTTGTAAAAAATAACATCAATTCATAGGGATAGAAAGCACTAGGGAACCCTTGTTTTCTCCTTTCCGGGGAACGATTCCCAGCTCACGCTCTCCTCCATCCTGTATATATTAATATATACTTGTATTAATATGTAGGCCTATATAAGTATTCAGATTTTGTAAAGTCTTTCCGTATTTAAAGTTTTTGCATAGAAATAATTTTTAACTATTCCTTTTAATAACTCTTGAGAAAGTAAGTATACATACTTATGAATATCAATATAATTATTTATCAATATAATGAAATTGTTTTATGAAATAATATTATGAACTTATTTTTAATGTTCAAAATAATATAGTAATTTATTTTTAATAAATCATTATTGATCAGTCATTTAAGTATTTGCGTATGCGAGGCTTAATGCGCTTCTCAATTATAGATTTAATCTTTTATATTTTTAGGTTCAATCATTTATTTAAAAAAAAATGGCTTAAATACTACTACAATTGATAAAAAGAAAGAGAAAAAATCGTTTTTTTATGAAACGATTCTAAATTTCGGAAATCAATAGAGTTAAAAAAATTAAATAGGAATAATGTTAAAAAATTTGAAATGAGATCTAAATACGTGTCTTTTCTGAAATTACACATTATTATAGATACAGTGATAAAATAAGCATTTAATTATCTTGACAGGTAATTTTCTGTTAATTTGGCGTAAATTAGGGACATTCAGAATAGCTTTAAGGATATAAATCTTTTTGATTTGTTGGTCGAATAGCCATGTAATGTTTATGACATTCTTTGATTGTACTGAGTAATACCCCAATTTGAGCCTCATGATTTTTCTAGCGAATGGCATTTTCTATCTATTGATAAAAAAAGAACTATTTGAAATATTAGTTAGAAAATGTAATTATATTTAACCAGCTTTTATTGTTTACAAAATTGATAAAATATATTCAATAGTTCAAAACTATTTATAAAACGCACGTTATTCATATAACTTAATTATATTTGCTAAATTTTGTTTAATTAAACTAAAATAAAATTAATTGTAGAGTTTAATAAATTATAATAATCATTAAAATAGAAATTTTTAATTTGAAGATAATGTATTTTTATAAGAAAAGCATACGTAATATTTTAATTAATCAAATTAGTTTAAAAATATAAGAAATAAAATATTAAAATATAGCAAAACGCTAATTTAAGCCTTTAGCAATTGTCAAATTATAGATTAGTATGAAAATTATCGAATCTATAACACCTATAATGTACTTAAGCAACGTTTCTAACCGTTATTTCATTCTGGGCTAAATTGAAACAAAAAAAAGTTCTTAAATTCAAAGAAAAATTCCATGGTACAACACAATTGAATACATATGATCTTATACAAAACATTCAATTACATTATAATAGGCGAACTCTACATAATTTCCAAGTATTTTCTTTTAGTAAATCAAAATGACTAAAGAATCAAATTAATCAGAATTCTACGATAACTCATATATATTAATTTGGGCTATCGAACTCTAAAATGTATTTTAAATAATTGAACATTCATTTAAAAATTGGATTTTTTTTCCAGTATGATCGGTACCACACCTTTAGTAGCTACGGCGCCAATGCCTGTCTGTTCTATGAAAATCTATCTGGGAGATCCACAAAGAGGAATCGTAGCAGAAAACGTTCGAATTGGAGATCAATTAACTCTAGTTATAACTATCGATTTGCAAGGTGAGAATATAAATATATTTCGAGCGAACGTCTCTTAGAATTTAATTGGAATTTATATATCATATTTTTATTTTTATAATTATAAAGAAAAATAATATAAATTTTTATCTAATTATACGATAAGTAAAGTACTATTATTTATGGTTCACCGCTCAAACGTTTGAGATCGTCTCTGTTTTATTTTTTTAATGTTCATTTCTGACAATGAAGGAAGGATTATGCTTATGCTATTTAAATGCTGACGTGACTTTAATAATTTGAAAATGTTTTATATATTGGCTATGTTTTTCGAATCAACTATCTTCGACTTATAATCCAAATGTTTAAAGAGTTTCCTTCAGTTTTTTCGATCTTCGGAGTGTGAAGCAAAATGAAATTTTTGGGCAGGGAAGCGATGCTTTGAATAATTAATTTCCTGTGTCGATAATTATTTATAATTTATTTTGAAACGTAATTTCACACACATTGATCAAAAATTAGTAAAATGAAGTCATGGTAGATGTATCAGACTCTAAGATTTATCTTAAATTTATATATTTTTTATATTAAATAAGTGTAAATAACAATTTAATTGTCATTTTTAGACGTTTACGGGATGAAAGTGACCAACTGTATTGTCAGAGATGGAATGAACTGGGGTGAACAGCCTCTGATTAATAACGAAGGGTGAGATTCTTCTTATAATATTCCAATTGTTAATCAAGTTTATTGAACCAACCGCTAATTAACTTAATACTACTTTTAATCATCGTATTCATTACTGTAACTATGCTTTGTTATTCATATAATCTGAAGTAATCTGATGATAATTTAATGATCGCCTTTGAGGATTAAGCCTAATTGTATAACTTATTCTATAAAGAGGAATTTTATGATAATGCTAATCACTTATATTTTAATAGGTGTCCAGTAGATGAGGATATTATGGGTGCATTTAATTACACTCTTAATATAACAACAGCATCAGTTGGATTTCCAGCTCATAAATTTCCGTATACTTCTTCAGTTTACTATCAATGCAACGTCAAACTTTGCCTGAAGCAAACCGGCGGATGCGATGATGTGGTTAGCATTTTTCAATTTTTCTTATTAACCATGATTCAAAAAATTTGTATAGTCGAGTTCTTTTCACGTAGGAGAAAATGACTAAAAATTTTATTAAATTTTATTTTTAGTTATGCTTGAATAATTTTCTCATTTATTAACAATTTATGTTATTTTATTTTTAAGCCTCCTGATTGTAGTCAATCGGCGGGAGGAAATAAAATAAGAAAAAGAAGAAATTCCGATTTCAAAAGAACTGTAACTGATATCAGTCGCTATGAAGATGATGTTAAAGATTTAACAGTTGAAGTTTATTCGGGTCTTTATGTCAACGAAGTAGAGGACGTTGACGATAAAAATGGTAATTTTTAATTTAATCTTTATTTTTTTAAATACTTAAGTTAAACAATTTCTTGAAAATCTCCATATATAATAAAATAAATTAAGAAATTTTGAGAATTTCTTAAATTGTATAATTTATAATAATTATAATGAAAATCATTACACTTTCAGATATAAAAACCGAAGCACAACCGACTTTCATCGAAGATGAGTTCTGTGTCTCCACAAGGAAATTTGCAATAGGAATCGCAATAGCTGGAGTTCTCTTAATGTTGGCTATTATGCTACTTGTTGCTTGTCTGTTAAGACGAAGAAGACGAAGGAAAGACGTCAGTTCTTCTGGCAGTTCCATTTATTCTGGCCCTTATTCCAACCATGCCTACACTCGAGACTAGCCTTAATCCTGGAATTCCATTCGAATGCTATTGTGAACTTCTCTTCCCTTTCTTCAGTGCCATCTGCCTTGAGAATGTCTGTAATCTCGGATTAAAACAAAGATGGCCTTAATTCTATTTATTTTCGGTAGATGTGGTGCCAAAATGGCGTTTTCTTCCTAGAAGAGAGAATATAGAATATTTTTTTAAGAAACTTTTTTCAGGAAAAATTTTCATTTTAGATTTGGAAGCCGATCTCAAATTTAAATTCAGCTGACTTGTTACAACCTATGAATACGACATCATGTAAAAAATCTGACATAGATCAGATGCTACTCCTTTTGGAATCTCAAGGATTAAACTTTGGGTGAAAGGTTCATCTGGTGATGGAAGGTAAATTTTTATAAGCCTTTGGAATCAATGGTCATCAGGCATCTGTTTGCAACATTGATTCCTTGGCTTTACAGATTTCTCTCGAAAAAATATCAGGTCTGTATCCATGGTTGCCATTTTTTGTGTTAAATTTTAAAATTTTGGTTTATACAATGTCGCGATTAGTTCCGATTAGAAACATTGTATTCCTAAACGTTTTTTTGTTTTATGTATCAATATTATCGCGCCAGTAAACGATACTCTAAATTTAGGCGTCTTCAATATTATCTGATTAGGACGTAAGCCAAAAATTTAGTCGTTTTTATAAAATATCAGATATAAATTCTTATAAAACAAAATTACGAAATTCTGGTGAGGTGTTACAGAATTGCTGATGACTGTTGACATCTCACCTTAATTGTACATACTGTATCATGTGTGTGTATCACGTGATGTCCATGTTTATTACAACATTCCCTGTAAGGCAGCTAAGGTGATGGTTAGGGTCATATGTATATATATACATATATATCAGCAGTATGTGTCGGTGTTTTAGGGGAATTGAAACGTTGATTGCATCATTGGCGATCCAAATCGATTCGTGTCGACTTTGCTTGCCAAATGCAATAAAAGATTTTGGTGCAATGTCATCATCGTTATCCGGCCAAATTCTTAAAAATTATATTTTTTATTGTTAAGATCATATTTTATTTTGACTTTTGTAAATTTTATTTTCCTTTGTAACTCAGTCAGAGAAATAAACATTATTTTCAATTCAAGTATTCAAAGTTTTTAACTCTGTTATTGATAAAGAAAATTATTTTCATTAAGGAAAGGGTCTTTGATCTTCTTCTAAGTCCTCATTGACGTGCTTTAATAAATCATTTTAGATTGTTAGAGGTGTGTTACATCTTTATAATAAAGAGAATATATTGATGAGTTCAAGAACTCATCAATGGCCCAGTAGCCTGATTAACGAATTCATGCGCTATTAACTGTGTCTCTCGTTATCGACGCATCATTACCCATAGGCGTTTGGGTGACCTTTTAAAAAAAGTTAGTCCATCATTTAAGTTAGAAAGTCATTGCTATCCATAGTTGTCAGTCAAAGAATGAAGAACAATCTGTAAAGGAATTGCTTTTTCATCAAATGAGTGGCCTCAAATTAAAGAAGAAAATAAACTTCTCGATTGAAATAAATGTTTTTCCATTAATTTTACAGGAATTGTTTCTTGTTTATTATAATACTATTTTTTCATTTAAAATTAAACAACATAAATCAAAAAATGAAATAATTTATTTCATTTTTAATTTATATCATTTCTTGCTATTGTTCGAGTTTTTATTTTATTTCATAAATAAAATCGAGTTAAAAATATGCAGTCAAAGCAAAAGACACAACTGTCATGGAAATTATTTCTATTGACATTTATTGATCTATTTTTCGCTTAGATGAATGAAAACTCAACATAAAAGTCAATTTTTTCCATTTTAAAAAGTAAAAGCACCTAATTATCATTAATGTGCATATATCTAAAAACAAATTTTGTCGAAATTATTGCTGTTTTGATAAAAAATGTGATTTAAATGATTTATAGACTTTTCTGAAAATAATTTAAAATTTTAACTTGAATTTGAATATACTGTACTTTAATAATAATAATTAGGTTATTGTTTTAAGAAATTTTTAATTAAAACATGTAAGTTGTAATAGCGACAGCAAGGAATTCAGGGCTCAAACTTACAAATTTAATGAAATCATTATAAAATCGTTTATAAAGCTGATAATTTCGTTGATTTTGAGGACGAATTCTGAACCAATTCGAATATAATACTGTTTACAGATGAAAAATAGAATGGTAAATTATGATAGTTTTGACCTTTAACAAAAAGTCAAAGACGACGGGGTGCAAAACTAATGATGTTTACCAAAGAAACTTACTCGTTTTGCTTTCGAATCGTCTTGGTTTCCTTTTTAACTTCACGCTAAGTTAAAATCATCGAAGCAAAGAAATTACTTGGGAATTACTGCTTGTTTGATAAATCAAAAAATGTACAAGCATATGTTTTTGTTTCGCTGGTTTTTCGTAACAATTTTCCGATGAATGCATTTCCTGGTTTGTTGTATTAATCAACGATTGATACGATTTTGTTTCTAATAATAACAAATGCTCATTTAAATCCATAGCTTAACCAGATACAGTTCTTTTTATTCTACAGATAATAGATTAGCAATCATTTACTTTCGATTCTTTTCAATCGTCCAATGATAATGATTATAATTAGAGAGCAAGAAGTTAAGAATTTCTTTTCGTTTTTTTACATATGAACACGCCATGGAACATTATTAAATTCTGATCATAAAAATTTAAATATTAGTAATACCAAATGAAAAAATATATTATAATAAGTGCTTATTATATAACTTTTTAAATATCTAAACATTTTATACGCAGAATATTATTTATTAAAACTTTTTAACTTATTTAAAATGGAATAAATGAACGTTAAATTGTTAGAAATAACTTTTTATGATGTTTGTAAATTATTCAAACTACCTCATATCTAGATATTTTGATTAATAAACACTGATAGAGTATTTAAAAAATTCCAAGCAATTTATTGTATAGTAGTAAAATGCGAGGAAAACCAGAGTTAAAATGGTTTTTTGAGTTCACTAAACTTATATTTTAAAATTAAATATCGTTCCAGTGACCAGCTGAACCAGTTCATAAGCATTAAGTATATTAAAAAGTTCACGGTAAATTTATGAAAATAAATGGATGTGACTAATATATGACGATCATAGAAAAGGTCACCAATTGAACCATAAATAATAAATCACAGGTGAAAAAGTGTAGCAAATTCTCTTTCAGAATAGACAGAAAAACAAGTTTTTTGTTTTCACTTTTTTTTGACAACTTGATTGCTAATTCGGTAAATTCAAAGAAGAGAAATGATGAATAAATATGGTGGGAATCATTCGTACTTTCATTACGAGTATAATCTGCTTTGCCTAAATTGTTGTCTTTCATAAAATCTATTTTGTTTTTTATTTTTTAAAATTTTTACTTCTAACGTAATCATCTTGAAATAGATGATGGATGACAATTTTCTACATACAAAAATTTTTAAATTAAAATTCCCATATAGATAAATTTTATAACTAGTCTAAAATGTTTCATACTAAAGTCTATAGGGTTATATAATACATTTATATGTAAAATGATAGTTATCTAAAATCGCGGATCTATTCAGTTGAAAATAGTTTGAAAATAAGAAAAATGAAACTTTTTTTTCTATATGACAAAATATAAATATAAATACTATTGGCATAATCTACTTAAAAAGATGCGACATCCATAAAAGCTTACTTTAATAGGCCAACTTGTCGAATAACAATTGCGTGACGATTCGTGATGCGTGAAGTGACTCACGCGTTACCTATGTAAAAACAAAAACATAGCAGCTGTCATCCTAAACATGGTTATCTTCGGTGTTCTATTGTTAAATAGCTTTTTGTTTAAAGGAATGATTTCTTTTTTGACCATTACATGCGGTGTGGCTTGTTAAATCGTGATGACAATGACCCCTGGCCCTCTGGCCTTCTGAACAACAGCATCCTCTGAGCATTTTGCGTTTGAAAAATAATAGTAACGTGGCAAGTTCTAAAAAATTTAAAAAAAAAAAATCAAGTGTGAAAATAATAGCCTTGAATTCAAGTTAGCAATTACAAGGCTGAGATTATCTCGGTTTATCTCAAGAAGCAAACCAAAAAATTCGGCATACTGACTGATTTAATGGGCGATGTTATCACTATCTGGATGAAAACTGAAAACTTGGCTCCCTTCAACAAATGGTGGTGAAAAAGGGTAACCCTTATTTTGTATGCGAGAGAAACTACAATTGATAGGTAGAAAGAATCTCTCTCTCTCTGTCTTTTTTCATTACTTTAATACGTGGTTTGATGTAGTAGATTACAGTTTCGGAGAATTCTAAACCTTCAAGTTAAAATCAAATTAAGTAACATAATTATTATAATGTACAAATTTTAATTTATATCTGTATATAATTATTTTTCTTACGGAATTAAGTATAAATTCTTTGTTTATAACTTTAATTTTTTGAAAATATTTGATTCAAAAGTTCGAAAACAGTTGATTTTTCCGATAATTTTTTTTTTAAATTGCAAATTTAAAAATATAGAAATGCTGAATATTTGATTTGGAAGAAATGATAATAAATAAGGAATAAATGTATTCTTGTAAATTTTAGAAAGAATAATAGATTATTATATAAGTGCAATAACTATTATGATTTATATGTTACACATAATTAAGAAAGCTATATTGAAACTTTACATTTAAGTATCTCTTATAGTTTATATTTGTAGATTAATACAGGATATTTCGAGATATTTTAAAAAACTTTTATACTGCCATAATAGTATGCACATTGTTTTACGAATTTATGTCTTTTCAAATATTCAATTTGTTTTTATTTTACTTTCAAACCCATATCAGTGACAATGAATGCGCGAGAACGAGTTTTTGTGGTAACACACAAGATAAAAGACACGAAGAACAATAAAACTTGAGAAAAGTTTAGGAGAAAGTATTAAACAAATCTTACCGAAACTATTCGTGAATTAGTAAACAAATTTCTGAGGACTGGACCTGTTCTTGATATCACCTGATCGTCTGGAATACCAGATTTAACAACACTGAATTTTTACCTAACAATTCATTAAGTCTGAGGTATATCGCAGAAATATTAGAGATATTGCTGATCTTCGAAATTGTTTTACTGTAGCAGGTGGTATAACTAAGATTTTGCTCTAAGATTGATCTGGGAGGATGATGTAAAAATCAGAACAAAGAAAAATTAAGCGTATCATAAAGTACCGTTTATTTATACACAATACTTTTTATTTTTTTTAAAAAAATTATATATTTATTTTTTAATAAACTTTTTAAATTTAATTAAATTCTATTCCTAAAGCTTTTTAGGGAACCGACACCCACATCATTCCCCATATCCCCGCCATAGACGTAGCTATTTAAAAGATAATGCTTAAAATGCTTGAACGTATGCTTCGCAAAACAGCTAATCGTTTTCAGTTCTCTAGATATACTGATGGTAACCACCTAAAAACTAGTCATTAGATTAAGCCCATATAGTATGTATTTTGTTTAAATGCATACTTCTTTTGTCTCCGCTTTTTCCCAGGTTTATATGTGATAAGCGTTTTCACCTTTAATCTGTCTTCTCCACTTCTCTCTGTTCAGGGTGTTCTCTCTCCTCCATCCCATCTCTCCTAAATGCACACTATTGATATATAGTGCTAATTTAATGACTATCAAAATAACCATTTTTAAAACACCCTGTAAACCTTAGAGTTATTTCCTAAATACATTTTTAAAAATAATANAATCGAAACAAATTATGATACAATAGAAAATATTTTAACAGACTCTCCTTAACAGATTCAATAGAATAACCGATCTCTATAGATTCTGGAGATAGCGACAAGATGTCTGAGAAGACAGACAAATATGATATTGATGATATATCAACAAACAAAAACAATCTTTCTGCTAATCGATATCAACATGGTATTTGCCGGAAAATAATATTAGGAATTATAGATGTTACAAAATGAAACTATTTTATGTACTTGTAATGGATAAATAATATATATGTTTTTTTTTTAAATTAATGATTTAATGCATTATATATAGGTTTTAAT